GAGGTTCTGTATCACCAACGAGACATTTTCGAGATCGACTTTCTTAATAGCTGAAGTATACTCTAGTTCGCTGCGGATGAAGGGGCGTGTCAGGCAGTATGAGTGTGCCACGCGCCAAACCCGTTCTCTGCCAGTTGTTGAAGCGGGTATGCGACAACATTTGGTAGAAAACGAGTGATACGAACGATATGATACAGTCTTGTCACTTGCTCGCTTCAACAACTGGTGCAGAACGGGTTTGGCACCGCGCCAACCTCATCCCGCTTGACACGCCCCTTAAGTCCGCAGCGAACTAGACCATACGTCTTGAGGGCATTTCTAATCCCAGTTATTGCTGATGAGTCCCGCACACTTACCGGCGGTTTGCGCATTCAACTTCTCTCAAAGCTCGCTCTAGTTCAAAGAAGTACGTTGACTTCGTTTCTTGGTCATGATTATCGAGTTGCTGTCCTCGTAGAGGCTAATTTGGGACTTGAAGCAGATATTAATCGGAGGGGACCAATTCCACGCTATACACCTTATTGGGCTGTGCTGTTTTAGTGACTCCGGATTTTTAGACGAGTCATCCTTGCCACATGAAGCGAGCAAGCTGTGGAGAAAACAAACATCTTGCCGTTTTGAGTAGTTTTCAAACTGCATCGCCACCTTCTGGAGTTGGCAACAACGGTTCGTCTTCTTTACAGAGGTTTAGCTTCCAGAGTGTCGCAGTGGAGCGCATCCCATGACAACTCCAGGGGACAAGAGGTCCAGAGCACACGTGACCTGTAGCAAGCCTCGCCTACAGTGGGCGGGGCAAAGAAAGCGGTGTCGTGGCCGAAACTTCATGATTCGGTTTCACAGTAGCCCAGGGATGGGGAAAAGAGAACTAAGGTTGGCAGGTTAGCAAGAGGTTGAGAAACTGAGTGGGAGAGACGCACCCGAGTTGGACGGGCATACATGAGATAAGCGGCACCCACAAAACAAGCGGCACCCCACAAAACCTAGTAGCTAGGTTCTTGAGAGGAAGGCGCAGGGAGAAAGAAACACATGTGGCGAAATCTGAGCACATCCCTGGTGTGCTGAGAGCTGCCCACGGTGGGCAGAGCGTGCTCTCAAGCGCGAGGTATACCCTAGTTCGCTGCGGACGGTTGGGCGTGTCAGGCAGTATGAGTGTGTCACGCCGTCAAAGCCGTTCTCTGCCTTCTTGTTGAAGCGCGCATGCGACAAAAAAGTGGTAGAAAACGAGTAATGCGAACGATATGATACAGTCATATCACTTGCTCGCTTTAACCTGGTGGAGAACGGGTTTGGCACCGCGCCAAACTCATCCCGCCTGACACGCCCAACCGTCCGCAGCGAACTACACTATATTTTTTGTGTTGGAGTCCTCAACGAACACTTGACTTTTCTCTTATCTGTGCACTAGATCAGCCCTCCTTACCACAATTCTGTGAACAGCAACAGCGACGAGAGTAGCAGATGTGACACTATTGGTTATGGCCGTTGTACAAGTGTTCAGATGAGAGAAAGGTACGGTATTGGTTTACTATTCGAAAAAGATGGAACGCGTTACGAAGCGCGCCCGCTCGGCGAAGCCTGGATGTATCAGAAAAGGACTCACAATTAATAGTTTAGAAAACGATCAAAAAATGAGAACGA